ACAACACGAACCCAATGCCAAATTATAGCTTTTCCATCATATTTCCCAAAAACTCAAAAATCGACCCCGGGCCCGCTTGGTCAAAACACGAGGTTCGGACCAAAATCAAATCACCCGTTCACCCACGAGCCCGAATATATAATTTGTTTTCAAATTCGACCCCAAAACGAGGTCTAAATCAAGAAAAATAAAAAAAACCCTAACTCTACCCAAATACCCAATTTTCTACCTTAAATCACATGTTTTAAGCCTAGAATTTCAATAGATGTTGATGAAAATGGAAGAAAATAAGCTAAGAATTACTAACCCAAGAGGTTTTGATCAAGAATCGCTTCAATGGTCGCCTAAGAGCTTGGAGAAGAAAGGTTTTGTGAAATATTTGGTGAATCCCATATGCTACTGTTTCTGAAGTTTTAAAAATTTAACTGGGCGAAAATGCTCTATGCGATCGCGAAGAATGTAATGCGATCGCATAGAGTAAGGGGAAAATGGTCATTGCGATCGCGAACAGAGCACTGCGATCGCATAGAAGAAACAGGCTGGGCATCGCGATCGCGAATAGCACTATGCGATCGCATAGATGAAAATATAGGACCTCTCAGACTTAACATTATGCGATCGTGGGAGACACTATGCGATCGCATATAACAAAACTGAACCCCTGAAAATTACTCTATGCGATTGCGGGCCTACTTATGCGATCGCATAGTACAAATCACTGGACACCAAAAAGCTGCAGAAAAACCAGATTTTTTCTAAATTCAAAACACTCCGACACCTATCCAAAACTCACCCGAGCCCTCGGGGCTCCTAACCAAACGTACATACTAACTCAATAACATTATACAAACTTACCCGTGCGATCAAATCGTCAAAATAACAACATTATCAACAATTAAATCTCAAAATCAAAGCATTTTTCTCAAACTTCTTAAAGCATCAACTTTAGCAATTTAGGTCCGAATCACGTCAAACGACGTCCGTTTTCAACCAAATTTCACAGGAATGACTTAAACCATATATAAGAACTGTACCGGGCGCCGGAACCAAAATACGGGACCGATACCAACACATTCCAATCAAATATCATTTCAATTTTTCCTTAACAATTTCAGAAAAACAATTTCTTTTAAAAATTATTTCTCGGGCTCGGGACCTCGAAATTCGATCCCGGGCATACGCCCGAGACCCATATTTTCCTACGGATCCTCCGGGACCGTCAAATCACAGGTCCGAGTCCGTTTACCCAAAATGTCGACTGAAGTCAAATTTATTCATTTTAAACTCAAAACTTAGCACTTTTCACAGAATTTCATATTTAAGCTTTCCGGCTACGCGCCCGGACTGCGCACGCAAATCGAGGCGACTCTAAATGAGGTTTTCAAGGCCTCGGAAGCACATAATTAATTAAAAATTGGTGATGACCCCTTTGGGTCGTCACATTTTCGAGGTCGTCGTTCTCTACTCTGTTCACTGAGCCAGACATATTGACCTGAAATCGAGGATCTTGGACAAGCAAAAGTGTGAACGATAACTTGCGTTGTGTAACGAAACCAGCAAGAAAATAATCACTATTATTTTTAGCCCCACGGTGGGCGTCAAACTGTTTACCGTGAAAATGGTAATAACAATTAAATTTGTTGATGGGACTCTAAAAATACGTGATCTATTTTTATGCTAGTTGTGAAGCAGTTGATGTTATGTGTGTGAAGTTTAAGGGCGAAACGCGAGCTAAAACAGAGTAATAGTCGAACCGATAAGTCAGCCGTTCGGGGCCTCGAGTCAATTTGGGGCCTCGAGGTTGATTCCCGAGCTCGGGCTCGAGCTATTGGGGACAGTCGGGGAAGGGTTAACAGTCGTGAAATAATTAAAAGAGGCTCTTTATGGCCAATGATAAGCAATAAATGAAGAACTGGTATGAAGATAGTAAATAAGAGCAACAATATCGAGAGAGTGTGTTAGAGAGAAAAAAGAGAGAGAGTTATCATATATTTCGTGTAGAATAGTTGGAGCAATATCAGTCCCCCTAAAAAATAGTAAAAATCCCCTTTATATAGAGGGTGGAAATCATATACGGTACGACATACATTAATTGTAAATATATGGAGATGGGACAGTTAGACGTGATACCCTGATCTGGGTTTAGAGTAGGCCGGCTATGCTTTGTCAGACTTGGTCGTCTGTCTTGGGAACTCCCCATTTTTACTCTGGCCTCGACCGATATTCTCTTCAAGTCGGGTGTCGATGAGCCCTGAGGAAGGAGACTCGAGCGCATCTGTGCAGCCTCGAAGCTTCGAGGTAATCTTCCGAAACGCCTGAATGACGGGAAATCGGACTCTCCGATTCTGCCGTATACAATGTGCCAACTTTAGGTAGCCCTATATGTATTCTGCCTTTATTTCATCATGCACTTAATTATTTGATTGCTTGATCACCAATTGAATACTATCTACGAATCTTGAATTGAACTCAAAAGTGGGAATTCTAGATTGCATATAGGATTGAGTAGAGCAAGTTCTTGAATCCGGGCATCAGAGAATGGATTCGCGATTAGGATAGACATATACCTAATTGCCTTGCTTGGTTGATGTACAGGAATTATAAATGCGTTCTTGTTGATTCTAACTCCATAGACATATAGGCGTTAGGTTAGCTTGAATAGGCAATTAAGAACTCGATAGATTCTTATGAGCAATATCAACCCTGTCAACCAATAAACTAGATAAATTAGTTAGTCAATTCAATTGAAGAATACAATAGGAATGTTAGATAGCCCCTGACCGTAGATCGTTTTCATTACATTGATATCATAAAAATCTGCTTTTTCCTTGTTCAGAGTTCACCATTTATTTTCCTTTATTTTGATTAGTTTAGAATCAAATATTTCTAGGTTTAATTCTTGTTTAGATAATTAGGATAGTCTAATTTAGTTAATAATTAATCACAAGTCCTTCTTACATTGATATCATAAAAATATGCTTTTCCCTTGTTCAGAGTTCACCATTTATTTTCCTTTATTTTGATTAGTTTAGAATCAAACATTTCTAGGTTTAAGTCTTGTTTAGATAATTAGGATAGTCTAATTTAGTTAATAATTAATCACAAGTCCTCGTGGGTTCGACATCCGACTTTTGGTCACTTTATTATTGACGACCGCGTATACTTGCGTGTGTTTTTGGTCGCAAAATTAGGCTTAGTCAACCACTAACACATCGCCATAGATCTGACAGAAAAACATTCCCCACAGTGATGCGCCAAGCATTAGTAAAATACTTCCAAACATTTCAAGCCATTTCTCCTTCATAAAATCGGTGGTTGATAGTTTCATTTGAACTGTTCGAGCAGCAGAAACAATTGGAAGGACTGTGAAGAGCAAACCTTCTCAATGAATGATATAGGAAATTTACCATATAGAAGTCTTAGCACGAAGAAAGAAACTTTAAATGGTAGTTTGTTGAGCCATATCTTGCTGCCACTTATAGTCTGTCTGGCCAAGCTGGAAAAATCAGCTTATTTTGAAAAATGCTTTTTCGAAAAGTGCTTTTCGAAAAGATACTTTTAGAGGGAAGTAGTTTGTTTTTGGCAAATCAATCTCAAAAGCACTTTTGAATAATAATTTGTGTTTGGCCAAGCTTTTCAAAAAGTACTTTTAAGTATCAAATTACGAATAAAGACATGAATAGATTTACTTAATAGTTAATATTATAAGTAATAAAATAGTCTCAAAAATTTATTATTAAAGAAAATAATTAAATCTTTTCATTTATTTAAGTAGGATATGAAAATAAAATTAAAAAAAATACTTTAACTCTTGTAAGAAGATTTAAATATATTAAAAAATTATTCGACAAATATAAAAACATTCATCCCTGAAGTCACCATTATTAGAAAGGTGTCCTAAAAAAAAGAAGAAATACTTATACTTTAGTATCCTAAGTATTAGGTCTAAACTAAGTAAAGTTATTTTGGGATATACTATGTTTTGTCAAGGGCAACAAGCTTTATTGTTAGTATGATATCAATAGACATGATTTTTATTAATGAGAGTGCGCAGCACGGTTAAATTAACTAGTAAATCATGAATCCAGTACTTTTTTTTTTTTGAACGAAAAGGATATTATATTAGAAACTAAACATCCAACATATTACACAATATTAGCAGTGCCTTGCAAGGCATCAGTATTTCCTAAAGCAGCCAACTTAGAACAGACATTAGCAGAAATTAAAGCAAGAAAAGATACAAAAGTATATGGATGTGTGATAGTGTTGAATTCTTGAGATGAGAGCATTGTTTCTTGGCTACCGGCTACCCTTAACATTTTATCCGGTGGAGAATCGACATAAATTCTAGCCAGCAAGTGATATATATAAAGCCAAGAACTCATATGCGAACAAATTAAGATTGGATCGTAGAAATTTTGGGGGAAAAAAACTGATTTTTTTTACATGAGAACTAGTGATATAAGTATAACAACGTTCATATAAACAACACAGAAGTATTAAAAAAAACAATGAGCTACAAATTAATAACATTGGCCTAACAACCTAAAGATAACAAGAAAAAGAAACATCACAAATTTTTAAAAAGGTGATAAAATATCATGAATTTAATTAGATCAACGTTCACACCAAACCATACATCAAAAGGAATTAAGGACATTATCTATAAATGAATAAAAAGAAAAAGTTACAAGACTTCTAGTTTTACAACAAAAATGAGTAGCAGCTTACTATAAATCTATTTTTCTGAGCGCAAACAGGTAGTTTCACTTCAGAGAATGCATTTACTACGATAAAAATGAAGTTGTTGACCGTTATTATCTGCTTTCTGTGCCAGCAATGCACATGAGAAGATAATCAAACAAATGAAGATGAATTAGAACAAGATGTATTTTCACTCACTCCCATAAACATGTGATTATACTTCATATCTGGGCCGTAGTCGGAAGCAATGGCAACTTCATCTTCTTCACCTTTCATTTCAAAAAAATGTACTGCAAGTGGCAAACCAGTAAATCATAAGATTGGAAAAGACAATGCAAAAAGAAAAAAAAGAACATAGTAAAAGTCGCTTGAGCTCCTGATATTTATGGGAAAGGATCCGCTCCAGTAACTCTTGGTCCAGTGATGTTCAATAATTGCTAAAGATTAGGACACATCATCAAAATAAAATCCAGCCGATGTAATTTGTTCATGAGAAAACCCAGCTTAACGTCCGTCAGTTTTGTTCTTCCTCGTCTTTTTCAACAAACTTATGGAAGCTATTGCCTTTCCATTTGCCATCATATCCAACTCAAAACGAGTATATTACATCAGATGATAAAATGGATTTAGAACTCAAACCAAGAAGTTAAAAAGAAAGAGAGACAGAAAGTCTTTTAGAGGACCAGCTGGTTGCCCGTTTCAAACCCTTGAACTGTTTGGAGGTCGAAGAAAAAGGCAATAGAGAAGAAAACAGCAGGTATGAGACAAGCCTTTTGAACTATGAGTCTAATAGTAAAACTATTCCCACCAAAACCAAAAAATTAGATTCCTTCGTCCCTACCAATTTTTGTAGAGCGTATTCAAATGTTAGTTGCATATATAAAACTTATGCAAATAAATACGAAATATGAGAGCAATAGAAACCAGAAAGTAAGAAGAAACAGTAGACACGACGGACTACTTTTGTTACCCAGAAGTGAAGAGAGGCTAAATTACAGCCGTTGGATTTTATTTTGATGACTTGTCCTAATCTTAAGCAATTATTGAACATTATTGGACCAAGAGTTACTGGAGGGGATCTTTTCCCAATATTTATGTACCTCCGGTATAGAAGGCACGGACAGCAAGCACTTCATTTCCAAAGCTTTGTTGCTCATCTAGAATTTCCTCTGCAGAAGTGACAGCAGCCTCGCTACAGTAATGCAACTCAATTAATTTTAATGTGGGAATATCCCCAATCTCTGTAGGAATCTCCTTCAACTTATAACAATGACTTAGGACTAGATACTCAAGGCTTGGAAGACTATCACTGGCTGTATACCAGTGCACCAAGTTTGTCATATAAATGGCTAGCAACTTGAGATTCTTGAAACCCCCTTCATCTAGATTCCAATTGCTTCCTTGAAACGCATAATATTTTAGCTTGAGCACCTCAAGTTTTGGTAAGTTACTAAGCATAGTCATTTCCGTCCATAGTAGATATGTCCCATCAAGTGTCAAACTCTTGAGGTTTGTTGGCAACCCGTCCCATAGTGGAGCTGACAACCTTTGAAAAAATCGTACATCAGGCGGAACTGCTAGATGAATTCTTAACTTCTGGAGATCAGCTAGACAGATGAGACTATCCAAGAAATTATTCAATCCATTAGGATCTAGATTGATCACAGCATCCAATACCTTTACGTTAGGAACTGCCATAAAGATTTCCTTCCAGTTGGACGAGACAGTGTTTAGTGAAAGCTCGTTTATGTTTTCTAGACGCAAGAATTTTTTTGCCTTTGGAGGAGCAGGCATACTTATTCCCCCAGAACAGAAATGTCTTAGACTTGACATCTTCCAAATTTCCAATGGCCGGGATAATTTATAGTATTCAAGTGGATTAACAATCAACGTTTGTAGATTCCACAAATTAGATATTGATGCCGGAATGTTTGTACCGGTGGTAAAAGAAAGATATCTCAAGTGTACTAATTGTGTTATCTCAGGGGGTTAACATCTAAACTGAAGCTTTAGTATGTCCAATACCCTTAGCAGTTTAAAACGAGGATCTACTATTTTGTACCATGTAGAGTTGAGACGAAAAGTATACAGTAGGTAGATGCATAAGATGGTACGAACTGAATCCAAATTGCCTTTCTCCAGGCGAAGATTCAGTCTTCGTCTAGCATCTACATGCAAAAATAGTCGATGTTCAATCTCCACGCCTTCTGAGACCACTTTGTCACAATTATTTATTACATGAAAAAGCTTCTCAGCTTTTCCTTCTTTCAAGCATAATAGTCGAAGAAGGTCATGAATTCTGCAGGTTCTGATTTTGCCACTTACCCTGCCTCGAGTACTAACCATAATCAAACTTCTGCTAACTAAATCATCTAAGCACTCTTCTGCCACCTCTTCCGGCTTTTTATGACTAATTGTTTTCAGAAAACCCTCAGCTACCCAAATTCTAATCAGCTGATCTGTAGGAATTTCTGCATCTTCAAGGTAAGCTCCCATATAAAGAAAGCAAGCTTTCAAGCTACACGGCAAGTAGTTGTAACTCAAAGCTAATATTGCTAAACACTGCTCAGAGGTTGAACCTAAATGAGAATTCACATTATCAGCAACTTGTTTCCAATCATCATATGTCCTATTGATTTTCGACAGAAGCCCAGCAATGACAACAACTGAGAGAGGTAGCCCTTTACATTGTTTTGCTATCTGTCTTCCTACTTCCCCCAGCTGAGGAGGACAATCGTCATTTCCAAACACCTTGGAAGACAATAACTTCCAGCTATCTTCAAGATTAAGGAAAGATATGTGATGAGGAAGCCAACCATTACCAGCAGAATCAGCTACTTCTAAGAGCCTGGTAGTTATCATGATTCGACTTCCATTTTCATCATCGGGAAAAGATCTTCTGACTAGGTCCCAGGCCTCGATACTCCATATATCATCCAAAACTATCAAATACCTCTTGAATTTCAATTTTCTGTGCACTTGGTCTAATAATTCGTCTTCGCTCATATTGCAGTACATTGCCTTCGCACTTGGAGAACTGAAGCATAAAACATCTAAAAGCATTTCTTTTGCATCATATTCTTTGGAGACAGTAACCCATGAAGAAACATCAAAGCGTCGCGATATTAATGCATCATTAAAAATTCTTCTAGCAAGAGTAGACTTACCAATGCCGCCCATACCGACAATTGAGACAACATTTAGCTCTGGTGTTTTACCGAAGAGTTGATCTGTTATGATGTTGAAATCATCCTCCATCCCAACAAGAGTATATTCTTCGTCTAAGAACACACAGCTGAGCGGAGAGGTAAAGAAGATGTTCCTTGCAGATCTTTGATAAAATTGTGGACATTCTTGAACTTCATCACCTCTCCTTGTATGGAGTTCATTACTTCTATCATTTTCTGCAACTCGTCATAAAGCTTACAACGAGCATTGTGCAGGTCGTGCTCAGTATCAGCCACATGGATTCTTCTTAGGCACAAATCAATTGCATCTTCTGCTTTATTACCTGCATCTCTAATCTTTTCTTCCAAAAACTTCAGTGCTTCTTGATCACTGATCTTGTTTCCCGTATCCTCAAGGAAAGCTTGCAAGAACGGAAGTGTTCCATAAAGTGAATCAATGGATTCCCTACATTCAGAAATCAAACTTGGATTGAATTGCAAGACTTGCTCTATAGTTGTCAAAATGGAAGTTATAACAGCATAAGCCATCTGTCTCTTTAGGATTTCTCGAGTTGAAGAACCAATACTAATTCAGCAAAAGGAACTTCGGAAATGAATGAGTGCTTCAAATCCCCCACCCGGTTGGTCTTTTTCGAAGGAATTTTCAATTGGTTTTCGGGGGGCCAGGCCGGCGAGGGAGTAGGTGTGAGTGTGAGAAAGATACAAAAGCATCACAGGTAGTCAAATACAGATTGCTTTTTTAGAAGCACGAGAGCACAATTTAAGGCTCTTTAATTAATTAAGCTCATTCAAAACCTAGTACAACCATGTGAGAGTTCATTTCTCTATGCTAATATCTTGATTTAATTACTGATTTCTATATTGCATTTAACTGTTCAATGTGTCGAGCATTTTAACAAGAATATAGTAACTCAAGAAATATTATTGATTCGTTATCATACTTACCTGGCATAACCTGGAGTTTGTGCAAGAGAAAATGGAATTATAACATTATTTTAATGTCCCAGTAATGTCTGCTTCAAAGGACAAGTAGCTGGTTTTCAAAATCATCTGGCTAACAAAGTAAAGGCTAACACACACTCTGCACAATAGCCTTCCACCTAAATCACCATCTTCTCCGTTGAAATACACCACTATGAACATTTCCTTCCTGAAAACAGATTCGACAGAAAACCTCTCCATTCACCCATTTTCACAAACACCATATCTCCACTGGTAAAAGCACCAACAACTCCAAAGTACACCACCTCAGTGGCTCAGACCAGCAATCTCCACTCTCTCTTATGGTCATTCTTCACCATTTTCTTCACCACTGATGAAGGGCCTCCTTCTGTCGTAAGCTATCAACACCCAATAAAGCAAAAATGAGATATGGCGTACTAAACATTACAACAATACATTGTTTAAAACATTTGAGAATTGAATGATAGGTTACTGGTACAACAATTACTTTATATTTCTTCAACGGATATAAGAATGGGAGCATTTATTATCCTACAACATTTAACAAAGCCCACATTGAAGTGAAGAAGTTGATGTCGCAGTCATGTTAGATTCTGGGCAGTGGCTACACTTAACACACCCATTTTCCGGACATAATTTAAATTGCCACATGTTCAAAAGTCACTGAAATTTAGCAAATTATTGTTGAACTCCAAAGTGTTTAGTTGCAGTCCAATAGAGTAATATCAGCCCAAGAAAGAACAAGGCCTCCATAATTGGGCTACACGTGGATCTCTTTCTATTTAAGTGACTGACCCAACCCGATTGTATTCTTTATGTATATAATAGGATATTTTTTTTCTTTGCACGTGTGTAATATTCAATCTTTCAAACAGAGTATCAATAATAAAGCTCACGTATTTCTCTCTCTACAATCTGATTCTCAATCGTGTTCTTAGGGTTTAACTTCTAGAAATTTCTACAGATATTTTGATTTTGGTTGTCGATATGGTATCAGAGCCCGGAGTTCGATAGATCGTCGTGTGGCGATTCTTCCGGTGTTACACTTGTGGCTTGAATCGCAGTTTTTTCGATTTTCCGGCAACGAAAGCACCTGAATTTTTTTATAGATTTTTTCTTCTCTTCACTCTGTTGAGAAGTCTGGTATTGTTCTCTTCTACTCTGCTTCGCAAATCAGATGATTGATTACTGGTTTTCTTTTTACATTTCAAAAACCTAATTTGACATAAAAATGAGTTCTGCTGGTAATTCTTCGAATGTGAGTAGTGATTCTACAACTTCTGAATCTGTACTGTCAACTGTAGAGGCGTCTCACCCACTCTATCTATATCCATCAGATTCTCCTGGTACTGTAATTATAGCCAGTAGTTTCAATGGATTAGGATATGGAAGCTAGCGTCGAGGTATGCTCATAGGTCTTTCATGTAAGAACAAGCTAGGTATGGGATAGTTGCTAAGCCCAGTACGGATTCGCCTCTATATGAGGCTTGGTGTCGGTGCAACGACATGGTTACAGCTTGGATTCTAAATAGCCTAGATTTAGAAATTAGAGAAAGCGTGATGTATACTGAATCTGCCCAAAAACTATGGAAGGAGATCGAACAACGTTATGGAAAGCCAAATGGAACTAAAGTGTTTCAAATACGCAAGGAAATCTCTTCAATTTCCCAGGGTTCATCCAACATAGCCTCCTATTTCAGTAGGATCAAAAAGCTTTGGGATGAATTGGCTTTCTCTATCACAATCCTCCCTGTGTTTGTGGGTGTAAGGAAGGTTTTCAGAAACTGGAGGAGGATCAGAAAGTTCACCAATTTTTAATGGGGCTGAATGAGTCCTATTTTAATGTTAGAAGGAACATTTTGATGATGAAGCCTCTCCCGGATATTGACAGTGTATATGCAACGCTTATTGAAGATGAATGTGAGGCTGAAGTCCAGACTTCTGCTCCTTCTTTCAGCTTCGAGTCTGCCTCTTTTTCCACTACTGTACAGAAGACCTATGGTCAATCTGTTCCCGCCTCCATTTAGAAACCCTACACTCAAAGAGTTAGTTTTAAGACACCTAAGAAACCCAATTCTAGCATCATATGCAAATATTGTAAGAAACCGGGCCATTCGATTGATCGATGTTACAAGTTACATGGATATCCCCTGGTTTTGTCGCTTATGCTCAAGTGTCTGATTCTCAAATGGTGGCTCATTCCGAGGGTTCTAGCGCAGATGGTTCCAAGGTGATCCACTAATATTGGAGGCAGTATGCTAACTAAGGATCAGTATGAGCATCTCATTTCCCTCATTCAGCAGACAAAGGTGTCTTCTGCCCCTCTAGAATCAGTTTCAGGATCTGCAAATTTTGCAGGTATGTTGAACTCTGCTGATTTTCATTCTGATGGTTTTCTTGCTTGAAATGTGTCTAGGATAGAGAGTAGTGTTTGGATTATAGACTCGAGTGCTACAAACCACATGCATGACACCACACAAATCACTCCTTCGAGATACTAAACCTTTACTTTTTCCTTATCTTGTAACCCTTCCAATGGTTACAAGGTTAAAGTTACTTGTACTGGCACTCTTTCCCTCTTTTCTGATATATATCTTCCAAATGTGCTCTTTGTACCATTATTTCATTACAATTCAATCTCTCTTTCTGAATTATTGCTTCATATTTATAGTTATGCCTTATTCTCTCCTTTTGCTTGCATCTTGTTGCATGACCCTTTTCTGAAGAAGCCACTGGTTCTTGGTAGACTTCAGAAGGGGTTATACCTCTTGCATTCAGATACTCTTTCACCTATTGATTCCTGTGTTCTTCATTTGTAAATACCATAACTGCCATCATTAATGATTCTAATAAGAGCAGTTTTCAATCTACTTCTGCCAATTCCTTAATTGATGTGTCTGGCAATGCTTTACCTTCTGCTTTATCTTTTGATCATGCATGGCATTTAAGATTAGGTCATATGCCTTTTGCTAAAATGAAATCAGTTCCTTTTTTATATGATAAGCTACCTAAGAAGCAAACTTTTATGTGCCCAATATGTCCCATGGCAAGGCAACAGAGGCTACCTTTTCCTGAAGGAACATTCATCTTCTACTCCTTTTCAACTAGTGCATGTTGATCTTTGGGGACCATACCATACTCATACTTACAATGGATTTAAATACTTTATTACCTTTGTAGATGACTATACCAGGGCAACTTGGACCCACTTTTTATCTTCTAAGGCAAATGCTTTCAGTATACTCAAGACTTTCATACATATGGTTCAGAATCAGTTTGGTTGCCTTATTAAAACCATTAGGTCTGATAATGCTTTTGAGATGGGCAGTAGTTCTGTAGCAATTTCATTCTTTTCTTCTTTTGGGATATTACACCAAACTTCTTGTTCTCACACACCTCAACAAAATGGTGTAGTGGAGAGGAAACACAAGCACTTATTAGAAACGGCCCGAGCTCTTCTTTTTCAGTCCAAATTGCCAGTCAAATATTAGGGTGAATGTATCTAAACAGCCACTTACTTGATTAACAGGTTCCCTTCCCCTTTATTGGATAAAAATCCCCTTTTGAGCTTTTGCATGGTGTTTCTCCTTCTGTCAATCACTTGAAAACATTTGGACGCTTAGCCTTTGCTGCTGTGCCAAAACCTTATAGAGATAAGTTTAAATCCAGGACCATCTCTTCTGTGTTCATTGGATACAATCCTGGGAAGAAAGCTTATAAACTCCTTAATCTTTCTTCTTCAGCCATATTTCACTCGAGAGACGTAGTTTTTCATGAACATATTTTTCCTTTTTCAGAATCATCTTCTGTTCATTTTTTTCCTCCTTCCATCTCTCCCTCTGATATCCCTTATTCCCATGCTCCTCCCTCTACCATGCCTTCTCCTTCTGCTTCTATTCCTGTCCCTATTCCAAATCCTATGCATAGCACTGAGAATACTCCTTCGACATCCCTCTCTGATCATTTGCCTCCCCTTAGGAAGTCTACTAGAGTCCATAACACTCCTGCTTATTTAAAGGACTACCATAACACTCCTGCTTATTTAAAGGACTACGTATGCACCTCGGTGTCTAAGTCTAAGACCTGTCTCTCCTCCGATGACATTTGTTTGCTAGAACCTCAATTCTATCATCAGGCAGTTTCTAATCCCAATTGGCAGGATGCTATGATGAAAGAGTTTCAGGCTCTAGAAGCCAATTACACTTGGGACATTGTCCCATTTCCTCCTGGGAAGAAGGGCATTCCTTGCAAATGGGTGTATAAACTCAAACAAAATGCTGATGGTTCCATTGAGCGGTTATAAAGCTAGGTTGGTCATTAGGGGAGACAGTCAAAAAGAGGGTATTGATTTCACTGAAACATTTTCTCCTGTTGTGAAACTTACTACTATTAGATGTTTACTTTTTGTGGCTATTAAACGCAATTGGATAGTTTTTCAATTAGATGTTAATAACGCATTCTTTCATGGGGATTTGGATGAGGAGGTCTACATGAAGATTCCTCAGGGGCTTTCTGTTGCTAGTTCTGATCTTCCACCCTAGCCTGCAAGTTGAATAAGTCCCTTTATGGACTTAGGCAGGCTTCACGCCAGTGGTATGCTAAGTTGTCTTCAGCACTTCAGTCTAAAGGTTTTATTCCTAGTCTAAATGATTACTCTTTGTTTACAAAGCTAGTGAATGGTTCTTTGACTGTAGTTGCTGTTTATGTTGACGATATTTTGGTTGCTGGGGATGATTTGGCTGAAATTACTAGTCTCAAACATTTTCTAGATGCTGAATTCAAGATCAAAGATCTTGGGGAAAGTCACTACTTTCTAGGTTTGGAAATTGTTCGGCAGTCTTGTGGATTTTTCATCAACCAGCATAAGTTTTGTTTGGATTTACTTTCTGAGTTTAACTGTTCTAATGTTTCTCCTGTGGTAGCACCTCTTGATCCTCATATTAAGTTGTCTGCTGATATGGGTGAGCTGTTACCTGATACTTCCCTCTACAGAAGACTTGTGGGTAAATTAAATTATCTTCAACACACTAGGCCTGATTTGTCCTACACAGTGCAACACCTAAGCCAATTTATGTCTTCTCCTCGGGTGCCTCATTTGGATGCTGGCTTACATGTGTTGAGATATCTTTCTGGGACACGTACTTTGGGGTTGTTTCTCTCTGCTAATTTTGATTTTTCTCTGAAAGATTTTTGTGATTCAGACTGGGCCAGTTGTGCTAATTCTAGGAGGTCTGTTAGTGGGTTTATTCTCTTTCTTGGTGGTTGTCTTGTCTCTTGGAAATCCAAGAAACAACCTACTATTGCTTTGTCTTCTGCTCAGGCAGAATATAGGGCATTGCGTCTAGTTGTTGCCGAGATATCCTGGTTGTTAAGACTTCTTGGTGAACTTGGTGTTATTGCTCTTACTCCAGTTAATGTTTACTGTGACAACCAAACAACTATCCATATTGCTAAGAACCCGGTGTTCCACGAGCGCACTAAACACATAGAAGTGGATTGCCACTTTGTGAGGAATGCTCTGTCCGATGGGGTTATTAGTCTTCATTCCATTTCTACCACTTCTTAATTTAGCTGACATTTACACCAAGTCTTTGCCAGGTGTTCAGAAGCAGCATTTCATCTCCAAGCTTGGAATGGACACCCTTTCCAGCTTG